GCTACTATACTCGTTCCATCCTGCGTCGATTTCGATGACGTTGATAGGTTACCCCCACTCCCATTGCGCCAGAACATACGTTGTTACACTACTCAAGACTAACATACCAACATCTTATGAAGAAAGAATATCCCGCGGAAAGTGATATCTGAGGTGTGATCAATAGTATGAAGTATATAATCGTGGAGTGCCCAGTTTTTGAATATGAATTGGAAGAGTTGAACCCTTCAATAATTTTTTTTCAAATCTATTCATATATTGGATGAAATATAACTTTATCTAAATCATAGTCGAATGCGCCTAAAGAATGAAGCAACGACTATATAATTAGAAGAAGAATAATAATTCGGATTATCTGAATAATCGATTCGATATTTCGAATCAATATAATAATCCAATTATCGATTATTTCTAATTCGAATTAGCCCATCACTAAATTTTTGCTCATCCAACTTTATGGTCACCGGGTTTTCAACTTTTCTTATGAGTTGCAAACAAATACCGTTGATGATAAGTGAAAAATACTTATTTTCTTAGCTGCATGATAACCTTACGAATCAACTGCTCGAAAACATTGACAAGGAAGTCTTTTTCTTATCCTCTCGGATGAAAAATAATGTGAGAGTCAGTTGAACCTTATTACAACAACTGTCGTATCCAAGATCGATTCCGTGCTAAAGGCACTTGCGGCTGCTGTCTCTAGATAGTATTGGCATAAGACACCAATACTAAAACCTAATCAGTGGCAACAGCGATATAGCGAAATCTGAAATAGTTGATTAACCGATAGCCCATCCAATAACCATATAAAAAGTAATAAGATGTCTAGTAGGAATTAAAAGGCAAACCTAGTAATTGTATAAGAATGTGAAGATGTCTTCAACTAAATCCAACAATGAAGAGATTTCCAAAATATCATTGTTTCATATAACTTCTGCCAGTTTCTTTGCTGTGATTTTAAGATACTGTTTGATGATATCAAAATACCAAACTGTCATTGCAAATCACATCGAAGTCTCAACTCCACTAAATTCGTGGAAGAGGGTGTCTGAAGGATTGTATTTATTATCAAACAACATTAACCCATACAATGGAGATTTGTTACACGAAACGCCCTTTTCTCTGTATATCTACAAAAACATTTTGCTGCTGTTCCAGGGAAGAACTGACTTGATGTTTATCACCTTCGATATTATCACGGGATGGATTTTATATCTTGTAACAAGACTGTATGTCAATGAGTTATATAAAAATGAAGAAGTAACTCGAAAGACATATGCCAAGGATGCAGTTGACAATCTACTAAAACCAGATAAAGTGTTAATGTTTCCCTATTATGCTTTGCTCTCATTTTTGTTCAACCCTTTCACCTTACTGAGTTGTGCGGGACATTCGACCACTGTGTTCCATAACTTGTTTTTGTCATTGCTCCTGCTTTCCATGGTACAAGGAATTCCAATAGTATGTGGAATATTTCTAGCTTTGTGTTCTTCAGTGTCATTTTATCCGGTGGTTCTAGTAATTCCAGTTTTTCTCTATTTTTCAAATGTGCACAATAGCACTTTCAAAGCTCTCTTCACTGTGAAAATATTTTTATTGAGTGCATTTCTTATTGTTGCGTTTTGCACTGACTTATTACAGGACTTTGGTTATTTGAAGAATGTTTATGGTTGTATCCTAACCGTTCCTGATTTACAACCGAATATTGGCTTATTTTGGTACTTTTTCACTGAGATGTTTGATCATTTCAGGGAATTATTTATATTTGCATTTCAGATAAATGCATCAGTGTTATATCTAGTACCTTTGTCGATCAAGTTTCGAAAGCAGCCGTTTTTACTAACGGTAGCAGTCCTTTTTCTAATTTCGATATTTAAATCATATCCAAGTATAGGTGATGTAGGATTTGTGTTCAGTTTGCTTCCTTGCTTCACACATTTGTTCAAGTACAGTCAACAAGGTTTTTTAGTGGGGGTTATATTACTTGTTTCAACATCCCTTGCACCAATAGTGTGGTATCTATGGATTTACTGCAACTCTGCAAACGCAAATTTTTATTTTGGAGTTACTTTGGCGTTTGCTATTGCGCAGATATTCTTATTGACTGATCTTCTGTTTGCGCAAGTGAAAAGGGAGTTCATTTTGAAACATGGAAAAGATAGAACAGTTGATGGAGAAGACGGAATTCTATGTTTAGAATAGTTGTGTTAGATTTTGTAATTAAAAGATTTTCCAGTATGTTGTTTTTTGTTTAAAATTCACAGTTATGGACCGAAGATTTATGGGTTGAATCATATTTGACTGACTGTCATTAAGTACTAAAATAACCAGCTTGTTCCAATGAAGAGTGCATCAAGTATGGGTTCTTTACGATTCCATACTAAGACCCAAGATTTTTGATCATATATCAATAATTCATTGAATATTGATATCTTCAGAAGATTCACAACATTTGCTGACGATAATATCACATAGAAGAAAAATGAAGCCCATATGTTAAAAAATAACATAAAAGTTATTGCTGAATCTCAAAAAGAATATTCAAAAAATACACTTCTTTGTGAGATTTTCAATAAACAGTTTTACAAAAATGCAACACATCTTTTGCTATACAATGACTTCTTCAGGTAGAGACACATTTTTTTTGCCTTAATTGATATAGAATCTTGTAAAATTCATTATCTATGAAATAATGCTGTCACAGGTTAAAAAGAACAAATAACATTACAAACAAAAGATACAATTCAATTTTATGTGAAATAAATCACAAAGCATGTCGATTATTTCTCTTCTGAATTTACTAATTTTCAGTGTTTTGCGGTAAAATGGATCAATACATTAATTCGGTCAATTGGCTCATAGCACTTATAACAACCGTTTTTTGTATGACAAAAGCATATAATTGATGGATCAAGCTTCAAACACCATCTTAAAATAAATTTTAATGATGTATAATAACAAGCAGAGGATTGTCAGTATCAAATGTAACCTAACCGAGAAAAAAAATCAGAAAATATCTACACAATATGTTGGTTTTGAATGATTCACTCTGTCCCAACAATAAGTAACTTTGAGCCATATAAAAAATAAATCTGGATTTAAGGAATATCACTTAATATTTTATTTGGGTGATCAAGAAGTATTAGAGACATACTAACTAGTTAGAATAATAACACACACAATAATATTGTATTATGGCTCCAATTTACAATTTTTTTTTATGTAGTGATAGGTATCAAGAAAACTTCATTATTTTTTGGAGATTTTTATTAACAATCAACAACTTCCAGATTTTCTCAATTCCACTATATTGAACATTTTCAAAAGAATACAATAAACCGAAATTATTGACAATGTTCACCCTTATGTACCTATATAGATAATAACAGAGGGTCCTCAATGGATTTATTAGCTGTATTTTGTTTACCTGTGACAATGACCCACATGCTAATCTGAAAATCAGCAGGTCAATTTGGTAGGTTACATCCGCAATGCTTATATTTAGAATTTCCAAGGAGTCAAAATAATTGAGTTTCCAATCCTTGCCAGCATAGCGCAAAATTTTCCAAGGAATGATTTGAAAACGTCGAATCACTTCTACTTAGTCTGAAGGACCTTTCACGTTCATCATACCGTTTTGAAAAATTTCGGCCACATTGTCCAACATAAACACTATTATACTCCGGACACAAACTCCAGATTTCTCCATTTTGTCCTCTTCATTTTTGGGCATCAAAAAAGAAAGTAGATAACCTGGCATGTCGCCTGAATGCCACTTCCACATTGTTTTTTCTGAAAAATCCCGCAGTTGTCTCTGTTCTTTTACCAAAATATGTTTCTGATTGTTTGATCTGGGGGTATAAATCTGAGATCAATATACCTACCTCCGGATCAAACAATCAGAAATTTGTTACTTTAACATATTTTGGTAAAAGAACAGAGACAATTGTTGGATTTTTCAGAAAAAACAATGTGGAAGTGGCATTCAGGCATCATACTAGATTATCTGATTTCCTTTTTAATGCCAAAAATAAAGTGGACAAGATGATTTAAGTTTCCGAATGTTTATTTGGGAGAATGTGACTGAAATTTTTCAAAACGGTATGCTGAACACGAAAGGTCCTTTAGACAATGTAAAAATTATTCGACGTTTTCAAGCCGAATCTAAACGATACGGAAATTGTGCACTAAGCATGCAAGGGTTGGAAACTCAATTATTTGGAATCCTTTAAAATTCATAAACAGATATAACCTAATAAATGACCAAATTGACCTGGTCTACTAGGTGTATAAGGATGAACCTTGTCAATTATTTCAGTTTATTGTATTCATTTGAAAATATCGCTGTAGGATGAAACTGAAGTAATATAAGTTACAAATAAAAGTGGTATAAAAATATAGAAAGTTTTATTTCTCATTTTTCATAATTACAAGCTTCTTAATACTTATTTACAACTGGTACTTAAATCCACCCATAATTAAACTTGTCTTTTTACTGTTTCCTTCTAACTGCCTTTTGAACTAGTTTTAATTGTCCTTGTAGATCATTATCTTGAATAACAGGATGAAGTTTATCTAGAATTTGACATAGCTGTAAAATATAATTTTGTTTCAATGAAATGAATATATACACTTTGAAACCTAAATAAAACATTATAACGAGCACTCATTCTATAATTCAAATTGTTTTGACTATAAAAACTAATAAGGATCAGTGAATTATGAAAAGTAAAAAAAAAGATACATCTTATGATAATAAACCATCTTCATCTTTATCCAAATTTGAAACTGAAATCAACGACATATGGCATTCTCTAATTGATATATTCGCTTCCATGTTCAAAGGAAAACTACAAGAAAATCTATAGCACCATGTTTATGAGAGATTAAATTGAACCATATCTCAGTAAATAGTGTGTCTAAGCTGAATTTGCTAAAGTAGCATTCATGTTGATCAATAAATAAAAAAAAAATTCACATGCATGAAATGCACTCAGAATCAAATTATACTTCATTGTCTGAAGATTTCCATGTTATTGACATTATCCAAGAAATTATAAATGTAGAGATAAATTATGTCATGAGATTAACAAATACAAAAGATATAAAGACAATTGTGATTGAAAATAAAATAACTCAAAATATCCATAGTATTGAAGATTCGCAAAAATACTCCATTAAAGCATAGCAAATACTATTAATTAACAAAATGTTCGCAGATTTTATAAATTGATGAACGTTGCTGAGGTTTGCAGACCTTACCTCCAATGGTGACTGAACTATGATACTAAGTGGAATCTTGACTAAATTCAAGGTAGAAATGGGAATTCTGAAACTATAATTGTTATTGCGTATAGCATTAAGTTTGGAAATGGCATCAAACTATGATTTGTTCTGTATACAAGGCAAACCATCTCAAGAATAATAATTGCAATTTGAATGAAATTATATTCTTTTTTCTTATCATTCAATGACAGCAGGTTAGCATCACAACAACAGAAAAAACGATATTTTGTTGGACATTTTAGAATGAGTCACTTAAATTTTTCTCTCAACCATACGAATCACGTAACGAGTCCCAAATTTCAACAAACGTCTTTTAAATTTCAGAGGTGAGAGGGAATCGAACCTGTGTACAACATGGCAGTGCTTCCATGAAGGGAATTCAACAAAAACTGACCAATGAAAAATAATAATATAGAGTTTTCTGCTTGTAATCACATACTGGTCAACTGTAATGAATTATTGGACATGATGTTAAAGTTCTTTACAATTCCTATCTTGAATTTACCAACACTTCAAGATAATTGAGTACCACTGACAACTTTGTTAATGTCAACTAGTTTATTGAAAAACCTCAATGAACATTGCATGCTCGTCAGTGTGGATATTTATTACTCTATCAATATATATGTACTATCTTATGTTTATGCGAATGATCCTGTCATCTTGACAAGAATCATATTGGGAAGGTTAGCCTGTAATATCATCCAAAGAATGTTGGACAATGTGCAACAGGGAGCAGATGGCATAATTACGCCAAAACTGTTCTAGCCAGACTATCTGTATGGACATATTCAAGGACATATTCTGGTGCCTTCTGCACCAAGTAGTCAGCAGACATAAAAATTCTTTTAGTCCTACCATCACTCCACATCTTTCTAGGGATGGACGACATACAGACGTGTGTTGCATATTGCTATGCAGAACATAGTAAACTATTGGTTGGCAGTGACAGTAAAGCATTCTGGGAGTAACTACCTACCGATTCACTGCCTTTAACAATCAACTATGACCTGCCCTATACAGACCAAATTCTTTATAAAATGGACTGGGTCTACTGAGATGACGAAATGCTAAGAGCAGATAGTTGTTGGTACACAGATGAATCAAGATACAAGTGCAAGTATATACATTTGCGAATCCAAGACAGAGATATCTATCTGCCTATTATGAACCACAATAAACCCTTGAGGGTTACAGTAGAGTCTTCAATAGACCCACTCACTTATGATCCAACCTAACCTACCTTATCGATATCCAAATTGGCTAGAAACTTAATAACATAACTGAAAACCTACTTACATGCCTTATAAGGGGTTTGTATTTGTCGGTACGTAAATGAATCAAAAATAACAAAAGTTCAGTCAAGTTATTAAAATTCCTCGTTAAGATACAATCATTTATGGCCTTCATAATAGTTGACGGAGAAGTCCACAATGGTTTTGCAGATGTGTGCATATGATCCAGGCAGTCTTTAAGGGCTTTCTCTCTGGAGCTTAACGCTTTCTTGGGTCCGAGTAATTTGAAAAACCTATTCAAATTTTGGTTTGAGATAGTTGGTATACTATTTCTTTGTTCCTTTTCTTTACGTTTATATTTTTGTGTAGTAACTGGTAAATCATTATGATCATATATCTTATTTATTTTTTCGTTTAATAAATCTGTGCGGAGCTGATCTGCAATGGCATTTTCCTCTTCAGAGTCCAACATATCTTCTTTGGCATCGATAATTTCTCTCTCCTTTCTCAATAATGTTCTAACCAGTTGTGTTTTTTCCTCAAGAAGTTTATCAGGGAAGAACTTATTTTTGTAAATAACAACTTTCAATTTCTTTTTTTGAACAGCCCTAATTTTTTCTAAGAGATCTGGATCACAATTTTTAATCAAATCCATTCTGCTGCCTTGTTTGGATTTCATATTTCGACTTATCAAATTGAGACTCTTGACTTTGACATACGACAAAAGACTACTGGCTACTGGCAGATAGTCAGATAGCCAAACATAAAAAATAAGCACGTAATTATTTCTTCTACTTTTCCATTTATTGGCCTCATCAACCTACCCTATCCGGCCAGTTGATAACGAATGTATTTATAAAAATGTGGTCACATTCATGTGAGCCTAGACAAATCCAAACACATTCAGATTTAGGAAGTAGATTATTGGAACGTGTACAATGCTAGAATTAGATAATCTTCTCATCATTTGAGGGAATCAAAAATAATTACTTCTTACTTGGACTTTGGCTGTTGTACTGGATTTTGGAATCAATGACATTGTCAAAAAAAAAATTAAATAATGTGGCGATTTGTTGTTTAATGATTTTATTAATATTGTCAGGAGGAGGTTACATCAGCAGAGGAAGACGTAGAGGCACCACGATGAGCAGGTTAACTTGGAGAAAAATGGCACTGTGAGGAGTATTTAACAAACGTTTGCAGTTTGTGAAGGTTATTATAGGATATGGCATTCCGGTAGGCTGAGAAAATAAGGCTTCTTTATTACTTCGTATGCAGGAGACAATTTCTCAATTGTATTTGGTTTATGCTGTTTCGCTCTTGCGACACCCGTAGAACAACTGTTTTGACTAACTTGTGAAGGGACACCTCGTGACAGGTTTCCTTGTGCATTGCTAGATAGTTGCTTGTGATTTCTATAGAATGGCTTTGTTGTTGTTTCTTTAGGGATTAATGACGGAAATAGCCGGCATGCTTCGTAATATGAGAGATCATAGAAGGACATTGCCTCTTTAATATCATGCTGTCTTTCAAATTCTTTACATCCAAAATCAGTTGCTTATTGGGGCCCATGGTACTATATACACTTTGCAGTCTTATAACAACTTTCAATTTTTTCGTGAATTTCCTCGCAACGTTTGCATCTTTCTTTGCCTCTACACAGATTTGCAGAGTGGCGAAACCTTAAGCAATTGGTATGCTGAGAAAATGTTGGTTCGACCTGGTAACAATCATTGAGCGTGACGGTTAGTATATGTCTCCATATATTATTTTTCTATTGAACCTCCTGGCATCAAGAATTCTTAGTTTACTTTCCGTATATTGGATGACGCCCTCGGCTGTAATCGAAAGCCATACATCCCTAATACGATGCCCTTTCCAGTGAGAAGTCGTTGGGGGTACATATGACTTGAAGCCTTGAATAAGAAATGCACGATTACCCAAAAAATTATTAGCATCTGCTGAAGTTGAGAATGTAACTCCAACACGTTGGATTTGAATCGCTGGAGATTAAATTCATTTGAAGAAACGTTCTTAGGAAGTTTATTCCACATAAACGCAGTTCTCCGAATGAAAGAGTTCTTAAACAGTGAAGTTCAAGATGTACTAAGTTGAACCTCAAAACAATGAGCAGTCACAGTCCGTCGCGTATTTCCATCAAGGTTGCAATTATGTTCGTGTTTTCAATCAGGCGGATGGCTTTTTTCTGGAGTATGGATGGCTCTTTTCTGGGTATGCTTAAAGGCAGAGATCCATACATGAGAACAAACATCAAAAGTTGATGAGGTTTGTAGAGTTTTCTGGTTCGGAACAGTGATATATCCTTTTATTAATCTCCATAAATCATTTACATGACATGAGATAAGTTCAATGGTAGTCTTATAGATAAAACAAATATAAAAAAAAATACCCATAAAATTTTGAATAATCAGGTATTTACACATAATGACATTAAGTAATTTATGGAGCATACACAAAATAATATACAGGCGTATATCCGAAGATCCAATTGTATGGCGAAACACGTCTTGCGTTTTCCATTCCATCAAATATCTTGTTCCTGTGGAAAAAATTATATAGGTGGAACCTCAAGACCCCTAGATGTGAGAAAAATGAACATCGTGAATATATAAGAAGACAGGTGTCAGGATCTGGGATAGCGGAGCATATACTAAAATCATCTGGTGATCACGCTATAGAATGGAGGGAAACAAAAATTAATACCAAAGAAACTAATAAAAAAAATTAGGAAACTCAAAGAATCCGCATATATTTTTTAAGCAGGTAACAAGTGCATTTGGAATAGCTCTGTGGAAATGGATCGTACCTGGTTGCCATTACTAAGAACTAAGAAGAGAAGTTGACAACGGTAATATGAACCTTACTGAACTGAATTCTCAAAAAACATCCAGTATATGTGAACCTTCCATCCTTCTGAAGTCTGTCAAAGAAATTAGAGCTATCACAATTAGAGGCAAGGTTTTTTTAGTGAATTCCATGTTTTGAAAACGGAAAAGGATTTTTTTCGACCACCGAAGAAATCTAAGTATTAATATTTAATTTTTTCAATTTGTACGCAAGATTTATGAATACGACAAAGTTACTAATTGGACTTTTCAGTGGTTTATATTACGTAGTAAATTTTCGGGGTGACCTTTTCAGTTTGCCCATTATTACAATTCAGCCGATTCTGTATTGATTTAACTTTTATTTTTTAGATTGTGGAAGGTTATATACCCAAAAAACAGCAAAAAGTATTGAGTCCTCCACGAAAAAAATATGTCTTTATGTTAAGCCAATCAAAAAAATGTATTTTGAAGAATATCAAATTATGAGTACTGTGTCAGTCTTACACTTTTCATTTTGAGTTACTTTGACATATTACCTATTAGTGACACATGCCACATGTGACATTTGATGAGATGACTGAACTCGGTAGAGCCAGATGAAGCGTACTATACTTTTGTGATTTGGGATTTACGTTCAAGCACCTTTCATTACCTACTATTTTATAGTCTAAAAACTGAAAACATGAATTTCAATATGAAAAAAACAAAAATGAAAAAATGCATTTTTTTCGAAAATTTTGAGTATGAAGCGTGTGACAGCAAAGTTTGTTTTAAAATTACTAAATTTTAACAAAAAAAACCGTCACATGAGCATCATCAACGGCGATCCAGATTTGCTCAAGAATGTCATAATTGGTGACTAATCATGGGTATATCAAAGTCTAATCATTCCAATGGAAGATCCCAGGAGAGCCAAGACCAAAAAAGCACGCCAAGTTCATCAAATGTCAAGGTTTTGCTCACTGTTTTCAGTGTTTTCTCCAACTATCCTGGCATAGTGCCCCAGGAGCTCTTGTTACATGGTCGTACAATCAATAAGGAGTATTATTTAATGCGTCCCTTCCGTGAAGCAATATGAAAAAAACGTCCGATTTTGTGGAAAAACCATTCATGGCTTTTGCATGGGATAATGCACCTGCTCACTCGTCATTGCTTGTTTGTAATTTTTTGGCCAAAAACCGCACCACAATTATGCCTCAGCCACCGTGTTCAACAGCCCCCTGCTACTTTTTCCTGTTCTCTAGGTTGGAGATACTCAAGAGGATTGGATTTTTCAGAAAAAAACAAACATATCGTTTTCCTAATTATCACTAGTTTTTTTTCGTGGTATCACATTTCAGTAATTGTGTGATCATTTCTGTATTTCTAGCTCTTGAATTCATGTCGCAAAACAATCTTACGAAGAAATGTTATTCGAATTGATTATCATACTGTACCTGTATCAATACGTTAAAATGACAAATAATATCTTTATTCATCACAATAAGAAATACAAATGAAATAATATTACATAAAAATGATGAATAGGCGGAGTTCAGCCATAGTAAAAATCAACCAGTAAGTCCACCCCCACTACTTTTATTCATAAATTGACAAAATTCTCGGTGACCTCGAAACGAAATGTGGAGTCAATTTCGTTTTTTTACTATAGGCGTGCACTCATATAAAAGCGAAACTTAAGGTTATTATAGAATATTTTGTAGTAAATTACTCATAACCAACTACAAAAACTAAAAACAATAATAACAACAGCGAATTAACTAAACACAATATCAATTTTTTATACCTAATCTGATGTCGGTAGGACCGTTAAATCCTTCGATACTACAGCACTGAACGCGTTAGATGAGAATCTCATCCTAAGAGCGGTTGAAGGTCCTCGGCAACTCGGACGGATCGCGTGGTAAGATAGCTACTGGTTCTATTATTCTACTATGGTTCAGCTATAAGAGCTACTTTTGAACCCAACCGTTAACAATAATAATTTTCCAAGTGAAAATTGCATGAAATAAAAAATATTGTGTTGAAACCACCGACATAAAGGTTATGTCGATGGTTGAAACTTTCTAGATCTACATTTAAAATTTGAATGGGTAGTTTTATTTTCACTCGGAGACAATTTATAAGCTTCTCTGAACCTCACTAAGTTTTCGATATTGGCGCCGCTGTGTTAGCAGATTACGTCCTCCCAAAATGATGTAGTGCAATGAAGATTATAGACAGTATAGACAGAATAGACACCCTAGATCAAATCAAAGATGCCGATTTCGAGTGCCCTGCCCTCTCTGATATTTTGATATTCTGTGACCAGAATAAACTTTGTACTTTTGTAGAGTATTCATATTCTAATTCAGTTTATTAATGTATTTTCTAAATTAGTAATTTGAGTTTCTTTGCTAGGTACTCCCTTTGAGTGTTGCTGGTTCTGGTACCTACATCTTGTTGTTTTTCGGTGTATGAACGAAATTGAATTTCTTGTATATCAATAATGGTCCTTAAATTGTTTTATGATTTACATTCACAACCTTCGCGAGCTCTGTTCATGTTTCTGAAGTTATCCAAAATTCCCTTCCAAAGTTGTGCTGTAGATTTATTAAGAGGTTAATATATTTTTGAACATTTGCTCATACTATTTGAATTATGGTTATTCATAATATAACAGAAAATCTTTAAATCTTTCAATTTTAGGTGAGCATTTAACTAAGGAATTCAAGAAAAATTATTCAAAATTTCAAAAAGTACCATTCATTCACGAAGATGACTTTTTTCTAACTGAAAGGTATTCAAAAATTTGAGTATTGAGATTGAGGTCTTGTGTATGTATGAACATATTATTTTCAGTATTGGTATTTTGCGATATCTCTCTAGACAGTATCCAATAGCAGATCACTGGTACCCAAAGGATAGTAGAAAACAAGCAAAGGTAGATGAGTTGCTTGAATGGCAGCATCTCAATATAAGACTAAACTGTTCAACGTATTTTATAACTAAAGTAAGTAGGACATGAAGGCCACTTTCTAATAGGAATGTTCAAAGTATCCTCAGTCACAATAATATGGCTGGTTCATACATCAAAATTATACTTTATTTTTTATAACAAATTTGTTACAATGTAAATCGATTAGAGCATTCATTTTTGCCTCAAAGGTTCATATGAAAGCTTCCATTTATTTACATTGTGACAAGTTCATTGAAGTGAAAAGTAAAGTTAAACCGAATATTTGGTTAATAACATCCATTAGCAGAGGTGGTTAAAAGGAAGACTAGAGTAGACAGTTTAAACCTGCTTAGTGTAACCTCAACCTCTATGTGGCCTGGATTATTTGGAAGGCATTTAATATAACTTCTCAAGAGTTGCTTGAGCATTCGTCGGGATATCTTGCATTACCCAATAAAATAGTGGTATGTCTTGAACAACTGATGCCATTCTAGAGGACTCTCCTCTTAATATTTGAACGGATTGGAATCCTTCACAGATCAAGTTACCTCCAGATGGAAAAAAAAGAACTCAAAGGTGATTACAGCTCTTTAAATATGTAACCAGTCCCATATGGATGATAGAAAGATTTGTATTTTTTTTAATGTGGCTCACAAGATGTAATCCTTATTTTTTCCGGGCATGTATCAGCACAAATTCCCAACATAAAGAACACAGCCACAAATATGCCTACTGTTTCTACCTTAATCTTCTATGTTGGAGTGACGGAGCAAAATAACGCACTTCTTCTCAGGACCCACCAATAATTTTTTTAGGTTTTGATGACGGAAAGGAATCACTTTCTGAATTGTTGACCATTTTAAGAAAGCCAAGTATATTTGAAAAATTCCAATCGTTTATTTCATTTATAGGCAACATTTTTATAGACATGACAATTTACTATATAATTATACTGTTCCTACTAACAGTTACTTTTCTCTTTGATATCTAGATTTCCGATTCATTTATTTTTCAGACCCAAAAACGTCAAGGAACTTAATTTGCCTCTTATTAAATCATCAACAGGATTTTTTTTCGATTTTTTTGTGTATACACCTCCATTGACTTCCACTTTAGCGAATGCTAAACTTAGCTTTTCTGCTTTCACCTCCACTAATGTAGCCTCCATTACAACACTGCTTGGAATATATATATCCAGAATAATACAGGAACAACTTTCCATCTAAGAAGAGAATTGAAGAACTTCTTCAACGAAGTAGGGATAGGATCAGAAAAATGACAGGGCTATTTACAGAACACTTTCCATTGAAAGGAAATCTAAGCAAAATAGGGCCATAATTGAAAGAGCTTTCAAGTTTTTTGTTAGGTACTGAATCCAAATGACACTATTCTCGTGGGCTTATTACGTTGCCTCATTTATTTTCATGACACCTATCTTGTTACCTTTATTAGTTTGTACAGGTACTGTGTTAGATGTTTGTCATATTCTTCTAGACCTATTGAATTACTCGTTTCCTGTGAACCAATGCCCCACATGGCGACCCGTTTCTTCCCTTTTTTATCGTCTGCACCTGAGGTCTCCATTGTATAATTCCATTTTATTCAAGTGTCCTCTGAATGATCAGGGTTCAGTAATTCCTGAGTGTGTTGGCATCCAGTACAGATGTAATCTGTTCCTGTCCGTCGGTTAATTAATCCTTCACCTCATTCTGAGACCAGTATTGATGCCAATCTTTGGTTCATCGATGTCCTGATTGCTGCCTGGTTGTGTGTAAGAATTTTGACCTGGTTGTTTCATTACTGCCTCTATTTTGATATTCCTTGCACATTTCAGTATTGTATACAGTTCCACCTGGAAAACAAATGTATATGGAGTGAGGGCTAGCTGTAAAGTGTATTTCTACCAGAGTATATTATACTACCTGGCGAGCAATTTTTTGAAATAACTGTTCAATATATTGTTGAAATAACTTCTAGCTACTTTTTGAAACCTAAGACAACATATTTTTCGAATTTCATTTTTTTATACTTGCTCTTTATATAAATAAGGAATTTCAATCTTGGATCAACATAATTGAATGATTCATTTTTTCACGATATCTATATCATATAAAAAAAAGAAATACCTTGACTTGCTTTCACAGTCACTTAAAAGCCTTTTTTGCAATAATTGTAAAAATTATTACTCGTATCATTACTAACATTTTTCATATAATTAGTTAGTCTTTGAACCAGTCTTTAGCCCGTTAGTTAGCGTAAGAGGTTTGTTTTACTCATCCAATCTACCACTATATGAATGTTGGTTCCATTCAACTTTCCATTTTCACTCAATCTTCTGATCCGTGCTCGGAATCGCACGTTAAAAGGTGGGACCTCATAAATCCCTAGCTTCTACAAGATACTGCTCTTGAGGGTGGCCACAGCTGGGTAATGAAAGAAACAGAATTTAAACAAACATATTTTTCATTCAAAAATTGGATGAATTGTTTCTTTTTATCAGACCTCCATAGTACTTGTAACAGATGGTACCAAAACGATTTTATTTTCCATTTCCAATAGTTCACCATACCTCTAAAAACAGGAAAAGACCCAGTACCTGAGAAGGTGGAGAAAGCAAAAAAGTACATGGTGAAATCCCTTTCCGACTTCGAGGAATTGTTTCTAAGCGGCGATGGCCCATTTGTATTTGGAGATCAAATTTCTTATGCAGACCTTCAGGCAGCTTGCGAGATAGAACAGCCACGTAAGTTATCCGTGTGGAGGGTTGTGATTTGATTCGAAAATACTTATACTCTTATGAGGATTCAAGCAGCATTGAAGGGATACTCAGATGTGGTAATAACTTTTGCTTGGTTATGAAAAGTTCCAATTTCAATGATGAAAAAATATAAATCCCGGAATTCCATGTAACCTTCCACAATCTGAAAAATAAAGTTAAATCAAAAGTTTTTCCTTCATTACACTTCAGCAAATTCTCCATTGATTTACTTTTATTAATTTTTTCAGATTTTGGAAGGTCATACACACAAAAAATGTCTTTCAAAGAATATTTCCCAGCTTTCATTGAAAAGAAGTTGTCATGATTAACACCATTAGTGGGACAATGCAATGGATATATCTGGACTTGCATTGTGTAAAAATGTGTTAACATATTGAAATTCATGAGAAGAAAAAATATATTCAGATGAGTCGGTTAAAAATTTGAATATTGAAAAAAGAGAAGAAAAAAAATGCGTTTGAGATTCACTTATTGTAAAGAAAACACAAGTAGTTGTGTGTATGAAATAATCAGTGGGTCAATTAGCGTCCATATACTTCTGAATATCATTCCTATTGGTTATTTACTTATTTTTTCTCATTTTTGTTTCTTATTATTTTTTTAATTAGCTCATCCCCTGTTTTTTGACAATGGAAGTTCAAACCTGTAACATTCACAGATATATTCAACTTCTGAATGACTTCGAAAATAGGGGAAAGTTCCCGATCCCAAAATAAATGCACGACATAACACTTCATTCATTCGAACATTGAGTGTGAATGTTCATTGGAGATGAGAGTCTAGTTACAGTGTACTGGAAACGAAACTTTATTGATCAAAGAATGTGTATTTTCATGACTGAAATAATTATCAATTCGATTTTTCGACATTATTGGCCGTCACATGGGGAATTTTTATGTCTAAAGTTTTGTCTACAACTGCGGTAGACATCAAATGCAGTTAGGCTGTGCCGGGTTTTATTAGTCCATCCATTAAACCATCGAAGAGAGAGAAATGGACTCCAATACACATATATAAGTAAATAGGACATTGACACGACATAGGTGTATAGGTATATCATCATCAACTGTTTCTTTCATAAAGCTCTAGTTATGACATTATTCACAATTTTATTCGCAAAATTCATGAAAAAAAAATAATATGAAAAATTAGATCCACCATTTTAACAAAAATTGAATTATTTGCTTTCAGCACAAAATAATCTATAAAATATAGCATTTTTCAAAATATTATTCAGAAAAAAAATATCACTGCAGAAGATACAAGACACAATAAGGCAGAAAAAACAATGCGTTTATTAATCACTAGTAGCAAGTTGAAAATGTTCAAGGTCATAGGATTCTTTTTTTCCCAGTTTTTTAGGGACTTTTGTAACCTACTCTTCGGTGCTTTGAGTACATTTGGAGACTTCATAAATTCAATAGAAATTTTCTGATAAATTGCTTTATCTAATAGAAACGCGCCAACATTTAGAAAGAACAAATAGATTCTATTATAGTCTATTTCAAAAGAGTGTAGAGTAATAAAATCTCATTAAGTATTCAAAAACGCTACAGGGTGATCCGTCAATAAATTCTGTCACTTCCCTAGTCCGCATTGCAAAATTATGTCATTTCATAAAGAGCAGGTAGGTATCACCCTGTTTTAAGGGATTTGTCCATTGTTATCGACGGATAAATACTGAGCCAGAGGCGCGCTAGTGGGATAATTGCCAAAAGAATATGCATTCATAAAAATTATATTAAAGGAAATAAAAATTTAATACAGCAGAACAGTGTTATTAAAAAAATATAAAATGTAACAATATAATATATACGAACCGAAATCGGGAAATACTCACAAACACACACGAACGAACTTTACGTATTGAAACACTTGTGGGGACTTTAAATCAATTTATTCACAAAAACGACAAGAACTTTACTGGATACGTTATTACAATTTGACACTTGAACAATACT